TTTATGTTGTAATTTCAATTGATTAGCTTGAATCTTTGGTACGATATCTTAGCCTGTGGCAATTTTTGTAACTATTATTTTGATTGTGACAGGAGTCTGCATGGATCTGTTTCAAAGTACTAGGGAAAGTATTCTGGTGTACAATTTTGATAGCCCCCTCTTTAATCCTTCCCAGTTTATTCTGGCTGTTGAAGCAGACTGCCAGACAGATTTTTGGGGCCAGAATAAAGGTATTAAATCTACTGATTTGCATCATATAAATCAAAATATTCCCTGCTATTTTAACATAGTGTCCCAGCTTGCAATATGAAGTTTGACTACTTAGTGGCTTACAGTCAGATAACTATAATAATAAAAAAAACAATTATGAGCTTTCAAGTCAATTTTGCCTATGGCAAACTTTTTCAGGGTTTTCTAGGTATGAAATGCTCAGAAGCCATTTACCATTTCCCTCTTCTAGGGCTGCAGTGAGGCTGTGCAACTCGCCCAGGGCTACATGGGCTGGCTCCTTTCCCACAAACCCCAGTGGGGAATCAAACTTCAAGCCTCTGGCTCTGCAGCCAGATACCTAAACCTATCCAGCCGGAAGACTAAATCACCGCACTGGTTATTTCCATGTTCTTTGGTTGATGTATTTGTATTCCTTAGTAGGGAGACACAAATTATCCTTCTGAAAAGCCGTTACATTGCTTCTAGGAGTATTTTGTCAAGTTTTATTGGGTGAACTCTAAATAATTTGCCTTCCTCCCATTCCTGGTTCACATGTTAATGTTACCAATTTTCCTCCCAGTCAATGTTCTATATATTTCCAGGGCTTGGTGACATGCATGTTAAATTTGAGCCCCTTGTTGATCTCTTGTGTATCTCTTGACCTTTCATTGTATCTCCGGCTTGACTTTATTGCAGTTTGAATTCCGCAAGCCCACCGAACGCTAACCAAAATTCAGCATGACTGTTTCCCTTCTTTTTCCAAGTCACAAATTATGTCTTCCGGCTCTTTGGGTTGAGGGTGGGGAAGTCACTCTACTAATCTCTCTTGGGTATATAGATAATATTGCATGGGGGATTTAAAAAAAAATTATTTTGCTGTGGAAGCATGTTATCTGACTTAACCTGAGTGTCACATCTGTGGGCTGTCCCTGCCATGTATCGTGGTGCAGAAGGCAGGCCAAATTGTTAGGTATAACACTACGCTTCTCTTGCCTTCTCCTGTTTTGTGTATTCTCCAAGCCACACAGTTTCTTGTCCAACCTTTGCATGATTCTCTGTGCATGTATCATGACTTTGGTTTGAATCTCTCCAATTCTTTGTTCTGAGTTTTATGTTGCCATCATACCTTTCATTCTCTCTCCCCCCCCCCCCCCCGGCTTGTCTTGGTTAAAATAAAACAGCCGATTTAGAACATCCATGTTTTAAGCTTCACATACACCCTTGGTTTTGTCTTAAGTTTCTTTCTTTGTTTTTCAACAATAAGAAGAAAGCTAAAGGAGGTTCATTTCATATTGCTGTCAGAAAAGAGTTTACCAGATAGCTGCCATTTCTTAGAATGCGGAGAAAGAAGTTGGGCTGATTCTTTGTCTTCTTTGTTTTTCTAGAACTTTTATCACCTGAAGCTCTGCGTTATTTGCTTGGCAAAGGCGTAGTAACAGAACGTGGACACATACATCCAAAGTATTGATTACATTTAGACATGCACCTTGCCCACTACACAGACTGTGGATAGCAGAGGCAAAAACAAAATCCTAGAATAACAGGATAAAAATGAGATATTAATTTCACTAGCTCCCTCTCTTGCTAACATAACC